GACGCGGGGCTCGAACTCACGGACCGCGAGATCGTGACCTGGCTGAAGTCGGACGCTTAACCGACTGCGCCACCCAGGCGCCCCTTCCCTTTCCTTGTTCTTAAAGTTCTTTCAGGATTAGGAGTTTTAACAGTATGCTAAATGGTTACAAGTTCTTAATGTCTACTGGATAAGTGGAATTTTATTGTTTTCCTTATATTGCAAAATATAACTTCAAGTGAAAAGAGGCTGATATGAAACTATTGGGAAAAATTAGGAAATAGCATATTTTTAGTTTCTTTTCTTCATCATAAAGCTATTTATAAAATGTCTTTAACAAAATGACTTGCACATCAACTACTATTAGAGGGCTGTTGTGCTAGGTAAACACCTCATTTGCTGTAAGATTTGCCTCTATCAAGTATAGTTAAGTAATACCCGAAAGTGCTTTACAACAAAAAGGGAGCCACATTTAAATATTCACAGGGCTCAAAACTCTTTCAGAGTGAGACACTAGTGCCTTTAGAAACCTTTTCAAGGGGCCCCTGGTTGCTTAGTCAGTAGGACACGCAACTCTGGATCTCAGAGTTGTGAGTTCAAACCCCACGTTGAGCGTAGAGCTTACTTCACAAAAAGAACAGAAACATTTTAAAAATCAAGGCATATTCCTTATATCTGTGATGAAGAGTTAATTTCCTAAATACACACTTTTCAGCAAAATAATAATAATAATAATACCCTGAAAACAAGTTTGCAAAAAAGACCAAGGATAATTAGTAGACTCTGATAGTTGGTAGGTAGATAGGAGACTTTGCCCCAAGGTTATTTGCAGGGGAATTCAAAGCTTAGCAGAAGAAATCAGATCTGTAATGTTTCTGCACCTTTACCTCAAGAACAGCTGTGCTCGCAGTGATAATACCAGCTGATTAAAACTCAAAAGAAAAATTTGCCCTGTTTCTGAGGGGAGGAAACATGGAAAGAAGTTGGGGACAATCAGGGCCACCAGAGAGCACAGAAGTGGACTGAAGGAGAGCACAAGCAAATGAAAACCCGAAATTCTGTATGTGAACTCCACTACAGGTCTCTGCCATAGATGTGGGGCAAACTCAAAGCAGGCTTAACTGGGATCAGAGCCACCACCCACAGGAGGTGTGACAGAATTGGCAGTTAGAGCTTCATGAAGTTAAAAGTCTTCTTAAAAAAATAAAATCAACCTTATGTGGGGGCATCTGGGTGGCTCAGTCAGTTAAGCGTCTGACTCTTGATTTCAGCTCAGGTCATGGT